TCAGCATCAACAACAAAATTCGGATTTTCAATACAAACGACGTCAAGTCAGTCAGTTCTTCTATACGGATGGATCAGAAACTTGGCCAGTGTGTCACAAAGAATATTTCCAACAGCCTGTTGCAGACCTTTATCAACAACTGTCTTCGCTGGCTCTATACTGAAGATGAGATGGCCGGAAAGTGTCACCAACAAGAATCTATGGGAACAAACAAAACAAGAACCAATAGCCTAACAAATATGCAGGAGAAAGTGGAGATGGATTAGACACTCGCTGAGGAGGCCGTTGGGTGACATCGCGCGTCAGACCATAGCTCGAGTGGAACCCGCCGAAAGGGAAGCGGCGAGTGGGACGTCCAAGGGTGACATGAAGGAGGAGATCGAGTGAAGAGGAATTGAAACAGTATGGATTAACATGGACGCAGGTGAAAAGTACACCAGAAGACAGAAGCAAGTGGAGACGTGCAGTTGAAGCCCTATGTTCCACTAGGAACCCAAGGGAACAATAATAATAATAGTATAGAAGAAGTGACCGACTGACAGACTTCCAGTTTGTGTTGAACAGAATCCGAATCTTCTTCTTTATGCTGACTGAGTGCCACCAATTTTATTCAAAACATACAAATTGTGACAAGATACTCGGAAGAACTGTTGATGTATAAAATCAAACTTATGATTTGAAAATGACACAATTGCAGAAGGAAATTCTCAATCGTTAATTTCGGAAACCAGAAGTGGTCAAGTTGGATCATGAAATAACACCAGTTTAGGATCTAACAGTGAGAATACCAAACAAATACCAGGGAATTTCTAGAAGCCTGATACTCAGATGAATCAGAAGTCAATAGACACACAACAAGGGAAAAACCAGGTTCCAGGTCAATAACACCTATCAGTACTAGTGAAAATTAATGGCTAATCATGACAAAGGTTATCAGGAGATACGATTATATCCTTCATGGAGAATTTCGAATAAGTTCATTCGAAGTTGGTACCATGAATATGTTCTCTAGAAGAACAGTAAAAGTTTCGCAATTGAACCATCCATCTCACAGAAGGTAACCACATAAAAACAACTAACGATCAATAAAATCGGCACAAAATAACACTTGATTAATATTCAGAAAAAGATAAAATGTGACTTGATAGCATAAATGACATTCATAAAGAAAAGCGATGTAGCGAGAACGTCAATGTTTGACATGACTAATCTCCAACTACTCATTCTGATCAGTAGCGTCAACTATAAATCATACAATCGATTGCTTGTAATTGTTATAATTACTGTTTCTTTTAGTTCCTAGAGGAACATAGGGCTTCAGCCACACGTCTCCATTGCGTTCCCTTCTCCGCCAACCCTTAAACCTGACTCCACGTCTACCCACATGCTTTCATCTCCTCTCTTCACATCATCCCCTCCATGTCAACCCACACTCGCACTGACGATCGATTCGCCAATTCCCATTCGGGTTCCACTCGAGAGACAGCCTGTCATGTGATGTCACTTGATGGTTTGTTTTCTCAGAGTATGATCAATCCACCAATTCATTTTCTTCTTGCATATTTGTTGCATAATTGGTTCCTGCTGGGTTGGTTCGCTCATTGTCAGAGATCCCTCACTATTGTTGATCTTTTCTGGACATCTGATCATGAGTGAAGTATTGAGCGGAGACAGCTGTTGATGAAGGTGTGTAGTTTGTTTGAGGTGCTGTTCATGACGCGCCAAGTCTCTGATCCGTATAGTAGCACTGACTTCATATTAGAGTTGAGGGCTATTGACCTTCACACAGACTTGAGAGCAATGAAAGCTTGCTTTTCTCTCCCGATCATCGCTGCTTTGATATCCTCATCAGTTCCGTCGGCTGTAGTTGAACTGATGCTTCCCAAGTAGGTAGGTAGTTAGGTGGTAAAGGATGTTGCTTCTTTCAGATTTCTCCCATTTATGCTGGCTGATTGTTGTCTGTTGTTGTCGCTGTTGCTGTTGGCCAGGAAGAGACATAATCAGGGTGTGGCATATGCATATAGCACACAGCTTACTTCAAACCTTGCACACAACCATTAGGTCACGTACTATCCCATCGCCCTTTTATTTTTTATTTTATTTTGATTACAGCTTGATGCCACACCGTATTTTCAGTACAAGTATGGCATTTTCAGCATGGATATCGGTAGCCCAAATTTCGCAGGCCAACCATAGATATCGGGTGTGCGTCGGCAGAAGATCGAACCCCGGACCATGCGCATGGTCGGCGAGAGTCCTAACCACTGTGCCACCGACGATGCCCTTGGCGGATCTGGCAACAAAAATCACAAGAACAGCATCAGAACATATGACAGGTTAGGTTAACTTGATATTTGCCGCTTTCGCCGTGATCCTAAGAACATACATAAACAGGCTGTGGAAAGCAAGACATACATTCCTTCGACTAATACATGTAGAATGCGAGTAGCAACAATCATACCCGTAAAAAAGTATGAAAATTTTAGACAGAGGAAATATTAAATACGCCAGAGAATTATAAACATTACCCTGTTACTTGGATCAATCTTCACTCAACGAACAATGGTGATTTAGATCAAATTTGTTAATTCATTAATAACAAGTCACATGAGGAAATAGATGAAATATCAGACCAATGAAACGATGACTAACTGACTGGTTTTAACATACAACATTAAACACATGTGCACCAGTTCAACTTGCCACACTCCCACCTCCATGTATCACACAAAGCAAGAGAAGAGAGTAAAGAGAGATTCAAAAGAGAGACAGAGATAACAAACAGAAGTGTGAGTGGGGAAAAAGAATGGTAATATGAAAGAATATTAAGGTTTTATTTTGATAAAGTCTGATATCATAATATGATATGATTATGAGTAATAAATTGTGCTCGAAACGCCATCAGTAAATATTACTGTATAACAACATTGTGAGACTTAATCAAAGTAAATTTTATCCACAATGGAATTATATTCTACCGCAGTGCACAAATTACATTGTCATATCGATAGAGTTTTATGGGGTATGACAGATCATCACAAATAGTGAATGCATCTACGCCAGACATTGAGAACGGGGATTTTGAGCCATATCACCGATTATCTCCAGCCTTCATTGGTTCTTACTACGTCGACGACCCTAACCAGACAGCAGTCTACAACTACCTACGTTGCCGACTGGCCTAAACTAACTGTTATGGATTTCACTGACTGGTGGTGGTTTGACCACCACTAACTAGCTCTTTTCCAACCTGATCGGTTCTGTGTCAGCTAACATTGTATGTCGAGGAAGGCGGTGGCCTGGCGGCATGCGTAACACATATTTTAACCATCTCACAATCTCATCGGTTGATTTCCCCTTCTCACCTGGCTCTCAACCAATACCTAAACACCTCAATATAAATCACCCTGTTAAATCTACCACAAACACGGGAGACAGAACGGAGACACTTATGACCAAAGACAGCTAGCCAGCTTTTTCATGTCTTTCATTTTTATTGGTCATGTATCACTCATAGGTATAAGGGAGGACGGAGTAAACCGTTGGGCAGTATACGCGTCCGTTCATCTACATCCAACCGGATATCACGTCTACTAAGCCAGATATGGCGTAAGTTGTCAAATGGCAAATGAGCCTTCTGTATCCATTCTGAGACTTCGTCAACGATTAACCCACTGACGTAGGCTGATGCAACTCCCCAAATAAGTGAAGTGGTAAACAAGCCCTACCACCTCACTCCCTACCTTTAAGCTAAGACTCGATGTAGTACAGACTAATAGAAATTATCAGAAGTACACTCATGGTAACAATGAGAGACGATTATATCATTCAGTGGCAACGTTGAGTGAATTTTCCTATATGGGCCAGGAACTCGATACATGCATCATGAAAAGCAGCTAGCTTCAAACTTTAACCAACATCTTCCTTCTCTGGCTCCATATTGAAGATCAAACGGCTGACCAGAAGGAATCAACAACAGGAAATTCTGCCAACAAATCAATCAAGAACTTATTGCTCAAGAAATATTCCGAAGAACATGGAGATGGACAGAACACACACTGAGGAGAGACCGTTGAATAACATCATGAGCCAAGCCATCGCTCGAACGGAATCCGAACTGGAAACGACGAGTTGGGCTTATTTCCGAGTGTGAGACGCAGGAGATCATATGAGGAAGAAGTGTACGCATATAGGAAATCATAGAAATGGCTAACAAAGACTCCTGGAGAATAAAATGAAAAGGAGATGTGCTTCTGAAGCCCTATGTTCCACCTGGAACCCAAGAAAGTAATAAAATAAAATAACAGTAATGGTACTTAGCACGGAAGTTTGCCGCTGAAGACCTATTCTAAAAGAGCAATAAAAGTTCCTCATTCAAACCATCCAGTTCAGTCGACAGATAACTACACCAATGACATCGACCTGACAAACAAAAATTACATTTTCTTCGATGCGTTACTGCCTCGCCTTCAATCTGCTGCATCCTACTGGTTACGGCTTCCGACTAGAACCTCACGTCACCTCATGAATATGGCCAGTCGCTAGTGAGCATCAGATATCATGGACAGGCCCTTTAACCGGGTCCCAATGGCTTAATGCTCAACGAGCTCGCCTTGTAACCAGAAGGTCCTGGCTTCCAACATCCTGTAGTAGGCACGTATTGATGGAGAGTTCCAAACTAGGACGAAACAACTGTCCAGTACGCTGATGTTGGTTTCCTAATAGTTCTTTATCTGATGTAAGTTCATGATGAAATCCATCAACCAATCAAACTAAATCCCTACAAAAACCAATACTTGAAAATTCATCTGATGCTCACTAGAGACTGGCCCTATACAGGCAATTAACCTGGGGTTCTAGTGGGAAGCCGTGACCAGTAGGGGGTGTAGCAGGTTGAAAGTGAAGCAGTAACTCATCGAAAGAAATTACATTAATACATAAAAACAAATAAGACATTCAAAACGAATGAAGTGAAACGCATATTATGTATCTCAACTTACTCCAATTTCAGCAAATTTTAATAATTTCTCTGACTCTGACCTACTAACATTTGGTAAACACCATATATTCTGTGTATGTGTTATCCTCTCTTTAAGATTTGGTAGTCTTGTGGAGGAGGATTTTTGTATATTCGGTGAATCATTCACCAAATTTTTATTATTATTATTATTGACAGTGTTCAATGTACAAGTGTTTGTTTGTTTTAATTGACTAACTGACGGTATATTTTGAGGCGGTGATATTGATTTTGTTGATGGAATAATAAAGAATAACTCATCCACATCATCTTTTTGGCTGTAATCCTCATCTGTGTAGTCATTAACGTCGTCTGCATCCGGATCATCACCAGCGACATTCACGTCATCATCATCATTATCGTAATCTCCACCGTCATCATCATCGCCATGGTCATCAACATCATCATAAACTTTTTGTTGACAATCTTCGATAGGATTACCGATGGAAGCGACTGAAAAACATGAATTTGTTGGAGACATACTACATCTATTGATATTATTGTTATTATTATTATTAACAGTACTAGTGGAATGTTTCTTTTGGGATAGATCTAATCTAGGATTGAATATAATTTCTGATCGAAACATATTTGAATCAGATCCGATATGTTTGTGTTTAAAGTTTGAGGTTAGTTTGGTGATGAAATTGTCATTTTTATTATTGTGTTTATGATTAGGCTGTTGGTGTTGACTATGTATAGGTAGATAATCTTGTCGTTCATGTTCATAGATATGACTTCGTTGAATATGAAATGTTGGTGATTTACTTAACATGATGTTTAGAAACTGAAATGTTAAAAAAAAGTTAAAAATAAAGATAATATTGTTGAATAATTTAATAATTCCCATTGCAAAATTAAGAACAAAAATATTCAGCGAAGAGACTCCTCTTTTCAGCAACGAATTTATTATCAAGCTGTACAATCGTATATATATATATGGTTTTCAAGATATTATATCCGATGAGGGAATTGGATCAAAGGTGTGAATACATAAAATAATTATAGGAGTAATATGAAATGCAACTAAAATATGCGTAATTATAATCATAGTTCCATATCAAGTGTCAAGTGGAAAAACGACTAATGTCATATATAGAATAATTCACAAGATGTATAGATGTTGGAAGGGGGTGTATAAATGTAGGGATAGTAGGCTAACATTAAAACGTTCTTTAACATGGAGTGGAATTTGATAAGACAGAATGACATTTGGGACGAGTGGAAATAATTCAAAGTAAGAATAGTACTAGTAACAATAATAATAATAATCGTAGTAATTAGGGAAAGATAGACAGAATAACTAAATAAACAAAATAAATAAATAAATTTCTATCCCTTACGACAAAGGCAGAACTAGGGATTGTATATACTTCTTTTGTACACAAAGGTCTGGCTTAAATTCATGAATGGCCAAGGCCTCAGCTGTCTTTAGGAGTCTGTAACGAAGAAAACGCGGGAACTTAGCATGGATTCTATATATGATCTTAATATCATTGTCTGGGTTGACAGAGTGACAGAAGTCGATCAGGTGTCCCAAAATAGAGCTTCGCACACACTTCCTTTCACCCTTGTAAAACCATGCTGGAATATGTCCTCCTATCCGTGTGGAAAGCATCGTCTGGCTACGGCCAATGTACCTTGCTCCGCAAGAGGAGAGGGTGAACTGATAGATGCACATGGAGGCGGCCAGACGGGGAAGCTTATTTTTACAGAGATGGAGAACAACTTGCGACTGGTGAACGTCATTTGTAATTTTGCTGCAAAGAACGTCTTACTGACTGATTTAGAGAGACGGTTTTTGAGCATATCTGAAGCTTGATCACGTTTGAATTCCAAGTTCATGAATAAGGTTTTCTTTGGAACTGAGTTGGTGACCAGGTTAGACTGCTTATCTTTCGTGTTACAGTCAATAAATCGGTTAGGGTAACCGTTTTCTGAGAGCCCAACCATAAAAATTAGCTAGTTGTCCATTCCATGTACGTTCCCGTTGGATGGATCTTTTGAGAGATCCGTCATTACGTCTACTAAGGTACACATCAAGAAACGGAATACTTAGTTCAGATTCCTTTTCCATGGTGAATTGAAAAGAAGGATGGCAGTTGTTGAGAGCAAACAAGACATTATCAAGAAATACGTTTTTATCGCAGATAACGAAAGTGTCACCTACGTATCCTTTATGAATGTCGAAATGATAGATGGTTTGACGAAGTTGAGAGTTTCCAAGCTTTGCCATAAAATAATCAGCCAGCAAAGGACCTAGTGGTGATCCCATCACAATACCATCTCACTATCTGAAAATCTCACTACTAAAGGTGGACCGGCGTCCTAAAGCCAAGACATCTGACAACTTTTGTGCACCAGCAAATATATATCAGTGTACTCTAGTCTGGGAATTCATTCAGTAATAACGCTACGTAATCATTGTGTCATATCATAAACTAGATGGGGCTGTGATGAAGAAAAAGTCGACTAATACCTGATGAAGATTCCTGGACAACAGCAGCAACAACAACAAAAATAGACAACAATCAGCATAAATGGGCGACATCCGAAAGAAGCAATCTCCTTCACCTACCTACCTACCTGGGAAATATCGTTTCAACTACATGCGGAACTAACAAGACAAGCTTTCACTACTCTCAAGTCTGTGTGGAGGTAGATCAACAGCATTCAGCATGAAAATGAAAATAACATCTGGATTTTAAAATCCAATGTTAAGTCAGTGCTACTATACGCACCAGAGACTTGGCGCATCATGAAGAGCACCTCAAACAAACTACAGACATTCATCAACAGCTGTCTTCGCTCAATACTACTCAAGATCAGATGGCCAGAATAGATCAGTAATAGTGAGGGATCTCTGGACACAAATGAACCAACCCAGCAGAAACCAGTTATGCAGCTAATATGCAGGAAGAAATGGAGGTGGATTGGTCATACTCTGAGACATCAAATCATCAAGTGACATCACACGCCAGGCCGTCACTAGACTGGAACCCGCAAGGGCGTCATTGTGGGAGTGACATGCAGGAGGTGATGTGAAGAGGAGATGAAAGCATGTGGGCAGGTGTGGAACCAGGTGAAAAGGTTGTCAGAGAAGGGAATGCAATGGAGACGTGCGGCTGAAGCCCTATGTTCCTCTAGGAACTAAAGAAAATAGTAATAATCATATCTGATTTCGAACCAGCGACTATCAGCATTGGGTCTCGAGTGCATACTGATGAAGAGTCTCGAATTAGGACGAAATCGCCATGACTTTCTATGTATCTGTAAGTGATATCAGTTTGTGTCCGGATCTGCCTGGAAGTCAATGAAGTCCACAAAAAAGGACACATGATTGTTGTCTTTTTCCACGACAGCAGATTGGAATCAACATGTAGTTAGCGTGCTGAAGTTGTTTAGTGCTATTCAATTTTCAACGATGCTTAACTGATGCTAACACACGGTATGTAAACTAAACTGAAGTATTAATTACTGTCGTTCTTTCTCATTCATCAGTTTGTGGCTTTAAAGGCTGTCGCATGGAATGTTAAGATTTGGGTAACTTCTCTTTAGAGGTAGTTCTTTGTGTGTTGATATAATCTGTAAGAATTGCTTGTAATATTTTAGGCAATCTGAAGTTCTAACTGATGCCTAATGGGATGGTTTATTGGGTGAACAATAGGAAGCTTAGTTTTGACACAGATCAGCATTATAGATCATGAATCCTGTTCACAAATAAAAATTATGGGAAATGAATTGAATTCGGAATTTAAATAAACTTTAGATTCCCGCCATTTGGGTATTCAAATTTGATTGATAAACGTCATGGCTTTAAATCCTCAAGACTATAACAGCAACAACGACAACAACAGTTTTCAAGCTCTGAGTCTGTTTGTTATAGAGGTGAATGTGTAACTATGCCTGTTGACGGTATTTTGAATTCCCTATTGATTGACTACTTTCGGCCGAAATGATTACTGTCTGTTGCTATACTAAATCTTATTAGTATGGACACTTCGAGAGCAAATAATACACGTCACAGGAGATGTTGCTGTTGTGGCGTAGTGTATCATGATTTCGTCTTCGAAACAATAAAAGCTGGTTTCGAGTCACAGTGTGAACACCATCGCTCACTAACTCACTCACTGGAAATGCAGATTTATCCAGCTTGCAGGCCTTAAATAGGACCAAAGGCAAGCTTTGGAGTCCACTACTGGTCACCATCAAATAGTTGAGTGGAACTGAATTTTGGATTGAGGCGTATGATTTCTCCTCGGGAAATATCACACCTCAGTATTTACTTTATTTCTGATATTTAATAACTGTCATGTGGAATAGTGAGTTACGATAACTATTTTATGTTCCACTTAATAACACTATTTAATTTGACTCACGTGGGAGTACTGGACAGCTGTTTCTGTTGTTCTAATTTGGGACTCTTCATCAGTATGCATCCACTGGAGCTCGAGTCCTGGATGTACCGGTTACAAGGGGGGCAAGCTCGTAGACCATTAAGAAACTAGGGTACTGGTGGCTTAGAGGTACAATGCTCGCCAACCACGCATGTGTCTTGGAGTTCGATTCCTAGCCGGCAATAAGACTGGTAAGGATAGAAGGTTGGGCATGAGGCTAACAACCCCACCGCGTAAAAATAAAAACCACTGCTACCGAAACCTCAAGCCTCTAGCTTGAAGCTCTATTTTTCACCAGGAACGTAAAGGAATAAAATAATAATTTGGCTATGTCGACTTATCATTGAGAAGGAATTTAGCGGTTCTAAAGGTGTATATTTTATTTCCAAGAGTTTCTATGTAAGGAATTGGTTTGCTTCAACTTTTGGTCAAGTACAAGAACCAGCTACTCCCTTAACTTATCTAGGAAGCATGGTCTCAACTACAGGCGACAGCACGGGCCTACACCTTCAGAAGTCTGAGATCAGTTTAAAAATCTTCTGCACTGCACTCAACCAGCTTAAAGAACAAGATTTGGCTTTTCAACGCCAATGTTAAGTTAGTCAGTTCTTCTGTATGGGTCAGAAACTTGAGCTACACGCCAAGAATATCATTTCCAACAAATTACTACAGTCTCTTTTCAACAGCTGCCTTCACTTTGTACTGATGGCCAAATGGCAAGCCAGAAAGAATTAGAAACGACAAACCATGGGAACAAACGAGCAAAGAATCTATTTTTCAAAAAATATTTAGGAGAAAATGGGGATGGATTGGATACTCGCTGAGGAGACCGTCGAATCACATCGCGATCAATGCAGGCCAACACACGAGTGGGACACGAGTGGGACACAAATGGGAAACACCGAACTGGGCATATGTCCGAGGGTGATACATAAGAAATGAGAGATTATGGACCATATTGGACCCAGTTAAAGAAGCTAGCAGAAGTGGAGATGTGTTGTGGAAGCCCTATGTTCCACTTGGAACCCAAGGGGACGATAATAATAATTATTATAATGTTGATATCAGTCAGAGAACCACTGGAAACAAACCATGTAGAACTGGATAGCTGTTTCGTCCTAGGTAAGGACGCATAGACAGTACGCACTCAATGGGCTTAGAACCTAATAACACCTGGTTACAAGGCGACCAAGCTCATAGACCGTTCATCTACTGGGACAGGAGTCCATGGCTCATGAATTATATCATATATTATATTACTGACTGGTTACGGTAGACCATCGAAGTGGCTGGATAGATAACTGTAGCTGAATTTCTTCCGATGTCTCTCTATTAAAACATTAATGAGGCTACCAAACTCACTCCATAAAACAAAAATACAATACTACAC